CGTTATTAAACATTTCTGAGATCTTCTTTCTTCTTTGAGACTAAATACTGAATATTTTTCATTTAAAAAAATTGCGATTAATCAACACATTTTAAACAGGGTATAAGTTAATAAGGAAGCAGAAAGTTTCTATCTTGTAGCTATAAATATTGGCCATCAGGGAATTGAAAAGCTTTTTTTCCAGCCATGCTAACAGCAGTGTTGCTGCTCAGCATGGTAAAGTACAGTCAAACAACCCATATTACTGAGATGGTGTGGGGAGGCCTACATCCAGCAGTGGATCAGTACAAGGCTGCACAATTTACTTTTATTTTACATCTGTGACAATGACGTATGCTGCTGCACACACACCTGTGAATGTGTTTGGCTTGTTCTGCCCAAACACACCACCTGTGTTCTGCTGGGCGTTTGAGAAGAGTCCCCCTCCTCCACTGGGGACGTTGCCAAACAGCCCCCCATTCGGAGCTGCGCCAAAGCCGAACCCTCCTGTTGTGCCACCCGTCGAATTGGCGGGCTGTCCGAAAGCACCACCTGTTCCAAACATCCCACCTGGGCACGAAAACAGACGCAAAGATGTATACACATGCAATGGTGCAATGCAGAATAAAATACTGCTTGAGACAAATTAAAAACTAAAGCTAGGGTGAGGAACCTTTTTCTGAGGACCGAATACGACGTTTAAATTCCTTTGGCGTGCAGTCACACATTAATATACATCGAGACACTCCTCTAACCTCAAAGGGCACTTGAGTGACAGAGCACGCTAAAATTATAGTCTTGCCCAGTCAAAAGTATTCCCTTCATTTAGCTGGTTAGTGTGGCAGTGATGCTTGCAGTGATGGATACATTTCAAATTAAATTGTATTTTGTTTGACCAGATGAGATCCCGAGTGACCTGGGCCACCAAAATAAAATAAAATATAGCAATAAAATTAAATAGCAATAAATGTATATTGTTTGTGGGTCATTCTTAAGTGGTAGGCCTCCTATGGCCATGGGTTGGATGAAATAAAGTAGTGGGTTATATCTGGCACACAATCCACAGCTTCCCCATGCCTGAACTAACGACTTAAATGCTGCTGCTTCTGCACCAACACCCAGAGTAATATGAGGCTTCCCTTCCACGAGCCTACAGATATGGGAGAATACCTTAGCATCCCATCTTGAAGTACGTTTATTATACCTCCATGGCCGTACCTGGCTTAGACTGGTCGTTGTTGCCAAACAGACCCCCAGATGAGGACGACCCAAAGCCTGTCCTGCCGAACAAGCCACCACCGAACCCAGTGTCTGCCGTATATCACATATGCAGTGGTGATATAATATTAGGAAGCACACACAGACACTGCCTGGACATCACTACTAGCTAGTGCTGCGCTACGCAGCTATGCAAGCCCTCCACCCCCCCTCCTTTTTTTGTCGTATGTGTCTGTGGGATCCCACACACGCATTTACAGCTCACCATCCCCGGGGTTGTGCTCCAGTCACCACTGCTGAATTGTTGGCAGCACGTGAAATTATAATTAAGATATGAATTAAAAGCCCGAGTTTACTTCGGCTGAATGGCTACTGAATGAAATGCATAATAAATTAACCTTCGTAATGTAATCGTGAAGTTTCAAATAATGAACACTGTCCAATTGCTTTTTGATCAGCATAAACTGGTTATGGCATGACATTTTAGAGGCTACTTCTAAATCTCAAACGCAATATCCATTCGTCCAGATTTTTATATTTACCAGCCCACTGCATTCACATAATGTGTCGATCGCCAGATGTACATTATGTGTTCAGACTGAACAGTTTAACTAAATGTCTGGACTGGGACAAAATGAGGGATGGAGTTTGGCTGTGAAAAGTGGCACAATAATAATGGATGCCACATAACTACTCTACCGGGGACAAGGGACAGAGAAGACTCAGGGACCAAGGAAGGCAAGGGACACAAGAGATGTAGTCATGGAAAAGAAAGAAACATTGGTGACTCAGGGAATGGTCGCTATGTCACTTACTTGTGCCGAAGGGCCCCGAGGGAGCGGCTAAGACGCCACTGCCTGCGCTGGTGCCGAATCCACTTCCAAAGGGTTTTTGTGCAAACATGGTCGCTCAGCGAAGGGGTCGTTTGCCTGCGAGCACTGAAAGATTCACATGCATAAAACACACATACTGTTAGGATAAACGATCCACCTTCAGTATATCACTCGCTTTGTTTATGCAGACTAGTCACGTATCTACGCCACCTGCAACCAGGAAAATGTTCAGCGAGAATCAGGTCTACTGAAAGGTTCCCCAAGATATATTATAATTCCCTTTCAATAAAGCAAACAACAATGGGACAAATGTACAAAATACTACAGTTCTTGATCCTCTGCTTGTTCAGGGGGTCCTGTTTTGGGGTTTTGTTTTAAGATTATTTTAGCCAGTTAATGAGTGTTTATATATTTGAAAGGAAAACGGAACACCCAGAGAAAACCAATGCACGCAAGGGGGCAAGACCACCTCCGTACCGATGAAAACAGATGGGTATTAATCAATTTGCTATATTGACTTCTCCTGGTGAGCCAGGGTATGGCAACTCAACGCCCATGGGAAGGGAATTTCACGTGTGCGCCATCCACCAAACTTCGCCTCTACAGTGCTGCATTACACAGCCGAGCCCTGAGTCACGTCTCCCCTGATCTAGTCCCCCCAAGCCAGTTGGTATGCGTTTCCCTGATCCAGTCTCCAAGGATTTCCATAATGTAGTTCTCCCTGATCCAGTACCCCATGATTCAGTCCCCCCTGATCCAATGCCCCTTGTCCAGTCCCCACGAGTACAATCTCCCTGACCAAGTCACTCCTAATCTAGCTCCCACTGATCCAGTTCCCCAATAATCCAGTCCCTCTGATACACTCCCTGTTCTAGTTGACTAGTTCCCACTGATGATCCAATCTCCCTGATCTAGTCACCAACTGATTCAATCTGCCTGATCCAGTCTCCCTGATCTAGTCACCGACTGATCCAATCTCCCCGATCCAGTTCCCACTGATCCAGTCAGTCTTGAATCCCCCCCCCCCTCTCCCGATCCAATGCCCCCGAACCAGTCCATACTGGTTCTATCCTGTCGCGACCGGTCTAGACCCCGCCTGCGGAAGATTGCGCAACGCCGCAGATTAATGACGCCACCCTCAACCTCGACCTCCAATGGCCATTGCCATGGGCAACAGGGACCCGGAGTCAGCTCGGGTCAAGGTCAACGGGTCAGGTCAAGTGAGGTCAGGTCACCCGGGTCCCGCATTGCAGCACGCGTTACATTAAATACAGCGGATAGGCAACACGCGCTCACGTGACGCAGCATTGCGAGCCACCATTGGCCGGCGGTAACGGGCTAGACCAATCGATCGCGATCTGTGCTTATCAATGCTAAGAATTGTAAAATTATATTGGCCGCGCATTCGCTATTAATACGAATAAAACAAACACTCGACATTCGTCATTAACACTGCCCTCGTTATACAAACACACAATAGGCGGCGTGACGCTTTAACGGCCCTTCACAGCGACACATCCTCTCGTCATAATCTCTCGTCGTGATAAGGGCCACTTGCCCGAGACGTCGCATATTACACACCATCTCCTCTTCAGGAACGAATATGAACGAGAACGAACGTGTAAAGTTCGTATTATGTACGCCTGACAACCTCAACCAACCTGCGCAGTAACCCGGACCGCCCCACGCCATGTAAACACGAAACTTGGCTTGGCGGCTCGACGCTCACCTTCTCGCGTGCTTGCGACGACTCGGGGGGGGGGGGGGCAGCTTCACCTCCTCAAGATGCCTTGTTCGTCGCGTAACGGTGAGCAGGAGCGAGCGATGAGAGACCAGACCGCTCGTGGCTTCTTCTCGTCGTCGTCGTTGTTGTTGTTGTCACTGGGCGCCTCCAGACCCACAGCGCCACAGACGCGCCACGTGACCTCACCAAGCCCCGCCCCTTACCCCCCAAAACCCCACCCCTTTCATTAGAACCCCACCCCTTTCATTAGAACCCCACCCCTTACCCCCCAAACCCCCACCCCTTTCCCCCAAAACCCCGCCCCTTTTCCTACAAACCCCGCCCCCTGTGCCCCCCCCCACACTACCCCCTCTCGGCGGCCTCCTGGCCGAGCCCGCCAGGGGGTCGTGACGTCACCGCGCTTTATCACACGTGACGCGGCACGTGACGCAGCACGGTCGTTGACATTTGTCATTTAGAAGGCGTTGTCGCGCACGGCGCTTCCCGCAGTCAAGGCTCATTATAATAATTATTATATTATCATTATAATAATTATTATATTGATAATGATTATTTTCCAATGAGACGGAGGGAGTTTGCGATTTGTGGTCGCTTTTACGTCGATCGATGAAGGAGGGAATGGCGTCTGAATCGCACGCAGCCAGGGAGACCACAACAAGAGGCGTCACGGCGGGGGGGGGGTAGACGTCACGGCGGGGGGGGGGTGTGACGTCACGGCGGGGGGGGTGTGACGTCACGGCGGGGGGGGGGGGCTCCGCGCCTTACGAGGAGTTTGATGGCGGGGTTCAGAGACAACGCTCACCACCCCGATTATCTGGTGGTGATGCCGCTGCTGCTGCTGTGTTGGCAGTGATACACAGGCACAATTAACAACTATTCAGCACACTCGTCAACAGAACTGTCGCCTTCAAATAAAATATCTAACCAGGCGACGTTTCGGGCAAGTGACCCTGTGTGATGACACGTCACATGAGTTTAATTTCAACCCAAGCTGTACTTTAGAATGCGGAGCGAGGTTCGGAGATTCGGGGGCGAGCACGCTGGGCATGAGTGCGCGGTGCGGGAAGAAGATTGATGGCGAGTGAATCATCATCCTTGACGACGCAGCTATGTAGGGGTGCTGGGTCGGAGGGGGGCCCAGGGACAATTTATAAATTGGTGGAGGGGGGGGTCAACGACTGACCGATTTTCAAGTGGATTATCAAGTGGATTCAACCAGTCAACTGTCAAGATTCATAAGACGATGGGACACGGATGTTTTATTAAACGGAAGACGTCTGCGACATCGCTCGCGTTCGGTGATGTCGTTGAAGTCCGGGAGCTCGTCCACGAAACTGCTCGATGCACAACTGAAGAACACGACGCGCATTGTAACCGCGACGCTGAAACCGACGCCGACCTCCCGGGCCCGACTGTTCCAGCGAACGTTCCGCCACCAAATATTCGCAAGAACATACAAAGCTGAAAGGGAGTTGACACGTTTTCTTGCCAACGACAACCACCTGCCCATCATCAACCAAGACGTCAACAGTCTACCTCGCCACCGACTCAAGTGCCCATCTCCCCTGGGATATTGGGATCATGGGGCGATGACGCACCCTGCCTCAATCGGTTTGCCTCGTGTTGCAGAGGTTCACGAATGGAATTCAGCGGCCGCCCTGATTAATACTGCGGGTTGTATCAATTATACAAAACACTACGCGCCGTCTGCTTCACTGTCGACGTGAAGAATCCCGTGATGTTATTTGCAAGCGTCGGCCACTGTGTCAGCGTCGTGGTCTAAATTTGCCAAATGTTAAGTGTGCAGCACAATCACTCAATTGGCACTATACAAAGCACTCAACGCAAATATTTCGCAGGACCCTCCTGACAAAAATAAAGTCACGAGCCTCAATGAGGCTTTCCTGGGTAAATAAACGTAAATAATCATATAATATAAATAACACGCGTGCCGACCCGTTCGCTGCGTGACGCTAGTAAACAACTGCCTACACGCCGATCGCCTTGTTCGCGACGTCCGCGGCACGGCACGTCTCGTGCAGTGGAAAAACAATACCGGCGCCTCTCGAGGTGCGCAGCGCTGGCTCGGCATGGCCCTGGCGCGGCTCGGTTGTACAGTTGAGAAAGAGGCAAACGGCACCAAACAAAAGCGGTCCTCTACGGCCAACCCTCGCATTATCTTCACGCATCTCGACTCGCTCACAGTGTGTGCGTGACATCACAAACGTGTGTCTGGAGCTCGCAGTCCCGATTTCCCCCCACCACCCCCACCTTCAGTCCGAGTCATCCGAGTCATCCGAGTCATCGCTGTCGGACTCGTGCCGACGCTTGCCGCCCTGCGAACTTTGCGGTGGCGCGGTCGGATCCGGCGCCCCTTCCAGGAGCCCCGCGAAGAAATCTTCGGCCGTGTCGGCCTTGGCATTGAGTCCGAGGAGCGGGCGGTTCTTCTGCACACGGCGCCGGTAGTCGTTGACCTTGCGCCGGCGCAGCTCATCTGCCGGCCAGAACTTGACGAGCTGGTCGTGCCCGCAGCTCGTCAGGAAGCGTCCATCCCCTGTGAGCTCCAGCGCCTCTATGGGGTCATTCCCATGCTGCCCCACCACGCCGAGCACGCGGTTTGGCAGCAGGCTCACCGCCCTGCACATGGTGGTGAAACAAAGCGGGCAGGGTGGGGTGAGCAGCGCACAAGCGCACACCATTCAAGAGCCGAATGGCTCACAGGGCTATACCAAATAAATGAAACGGAAACCGAAACCAGCGGCACGGCGCCCATGATTAGATTGACCTGCAAATCACAAGTGGAACACGGAATATAATGATAGGAGACGAGATTGGTGATGTGAGACACGGGCCAAGAGACACAGAACACATGGTACAAAGTGGAACATATGTGAGGTGCGGTATAAATGATGATGACGATGGCGGTGGTGGGGCAGGAACCTGATGATGCCGTCCATGCTGGCCGTGCACACTAGGTTGTCTGAAACGCGTGCCAGGCAGTCGACCGATTCGGTGCGCGTAGAGAACCGGTCGCTGACCGCGCCGAAGCCGCCCCAGTTGAAGAGCAGCAGCCAGCCCTCGCTCGAGCCACACACCACCTTGGTCCCCTCCTGCTCACACGTGCCACCACCACCGCCGCCACCACGCGAGCAAAACCACAACTGTCACAACCGCCATCACCATCAGGCAAGACACCACTGGAATCATTGGACGTCGGTCTGCAATGTAGCCATCGCGTGTCGCTCCGTGTCGCCCCGTCTCCCTACAGCTTTGTCCGTTTCATTTTTGTAAAGACTGTTAATTCAAACTAAAATCTGATTTCACACAGCGCCATTCAACCCGGCCTCTCGAGTCTTCACCCGGACGAGAAGCAAAACCCCAACAACGCGGTGTCACAGCGCGCTCACCTTGACAATGGCGATGGAGGTGAGGTCGCAGTCCTGCACCTCGGACTTGACGTCCAACCTCCGGCGCCGCACGTTGAAGGCGCACAGCGTCCCGTCGCCGCTGCTCGCACACGGCGATCGTGACAGCGGCCGTCACGCAAAGCCTCACAACACGGCCTCGCCAGCGACACTTCAACACTTTCAAGTGATTTTAAGAATCACAGTTCCACCATAGCGCACAGTTCTGCATAAAGCAGAAGTGACATCTTGACTTAATTTTATTTTTTAACCTAAGTGACTTCACCGAAAGACGCAAAGAACAGAAGTGACATCATCGCAGTGATGAATTAAAACTGAAATGACATCACGCGAGCAGTTTGGTGCTTGTTTACTCAAATATGTGTAGTTCAGGTCGTTTTTCCCCGTTTACAGTTATCAATGCACGTGTCTTGTCAGTGTTTGTGTGTATAAGTGGATGTGTGGTACTGGCCAGGCGTGGGGGTTTTTGCCACTGTGTTGATCCGTGAGGTCGCATATTTAACATTATTTTGGCACAGATAAGCTATATGCTCTGCTTGACTGAAGCGGAAGCGTTAAGGCTGCGGGCGGTGGCCGTCCCCGCTCACCTAGTGGTGAGCAACGTCCTCTTGTCATCTCCCACGACCATGCTGCTGACGAAGTCGGTGTGCTCCAGCTGCTCCATGACGTATGTCCCCTGGCGGAAGTCCCACACGCGCACGACGCCATCGTCGCCGCCCGTCGCCGTCAGATTCTCGTCGATCACCACAAGGCTGTAGATGGCCGAGCTGCGTGCAGCCGCAAAGGTGAGAGACGGAGGCACGAGGGGAGAGCGAGATTAGCGACGCCGGAGCGCGACCTGCTAAACGATGCCGAAGCCTGACCTACCATTGCGCAAATCGTCTCCTGCTGTGAAGTCTGTCAGGGCGTGCCGGGCGGACTGGTTTGCCTTGCACATGCTGGAGGAGAACGCCGTTACATGGCTCTGTGGCTATGTGAGCTGACGTCCACTCATACATAACATTCACGCATATATGTATGTGTTTAATTATTTTGTGTATCTGCTGCTCTGTGTAAAAGTATTCACTAAATACCATGAAGCACAGTTCTGCCATGAAACAAATTCCTGAATCCTCTACGCAAGCCCTATCCCTAACCAAGCACTAACTTCAACATTTCTTACCATAACGCAGTCTTAACTCCAACACAGTGCGAAATAATGTTTATTTAGTTTTATATAAAGCGTCATCGTTTGTTTAACCCAAAAAACCTCTATTATGTGTCATCATTTGTGGAAATCCTATCTCTCACGATCACTGAGAAACCGCAGACAGGAGCTGGTAGGCAGCAGCCAGGCGGTGAGCAGGTGCTACCAACATTTTTCAAAGCTCTGGTCCTACATATGTATGAATGGTTTCAGCCAATGATTGAAGGGCCACTCACTCGTGAGCCTTCTGAATCCTCTTCACCAGCTTGCCCTGCTCCACGTCGAACAGCAGCACAGACTTGTCCTTGGACACGGAGTAGAGCTCTGCGGGGAAAGGCGGCAGATGTGACGCACGGCTCACGAGGGCCAGGAAGGCACGACGCCCATCGATAAACGCCCTGGGTGCGCGTCACGCAACCAACACATTCGCGTGCGTAACACTTCCCGCCCGCACTGCTTGCCGCACGCACACATACTCTGCGCGTTCACGGAGCGGTGGCGCAGTGGTTAGCGCAATGCGCTATGAACCCGGCGACCCACATTCGATTCCCCACGCATGTGCCAACATCAGTGGGGAATATCTGAACCGGTTCAGGGCCTCCCGAGGTCAACTCGGTCTTACACGAATCACCGGTGCCGTGCGTAATTTAACATCAGCACTGGTGGGGAGACAAAGGCGGCCGGCTGGCGTGGTGCGAGCCACACCACCCCCTCGTAAGTACGCCGTGGCCAACCTTCAAAGGTGCCACTCGCCATCAGCACCTGCCCCACCTCGCCTACATGGGCTACGCGCGAGACATTTGTCTCTGCACGTGTGTGCGTGTGTGCGCTTGTGTGTGCGTGGCATACGGGCGCCGTCGTCGGAGAAGGCGAGGCCACGGCACGCCTTGCGGTGATGTCCCGAGGACCACAGCTCGCGCGTCTCTCCCTCCGTGCATGAGTACGAGTACCTACGCACGCAAACATGCACGACCACGCGCTGATGGAAATACATCGGCTCACAAGGGCGCAGATGCCAAAAGACCATGTAAAATTGCTTTAAAGTCTGGTGCATGGAGGGTGTAGGCAGGGAGTGGGGTATGGGGGGGGGAGGTCACAGGTCAGAGGAAGAGTCAGCAGCAGCCTCACTCACAGGAAGATATCTCCGTCGAGGTCGCCCACGGCCATCACGTCGCGTGACGGGTGCATGCACATGGTGGTCGGGATTGCCTCCAGTTTGATGTCCTCTGGCGCCTCTCTCACACGTGGCTCTTTGGGAGGCTCCTCTTCCTCCTCCTCCTCTTCATCTTCCTCTTCCTCATCACTATCGTCTGTATCTTTATCCGGCTTCTCATGCTCCTCTCTGTGATCACCGCCATGAGTCGTAAGATCGGCTTCTAAGCTGGAGGCATCAGTCACGTGCTGCTGCTGTTCATTCACAGCCCCCAGCGTCTCGCTCGGCTCCGGGTCGCCCTTCTCCTCAGCGGGTTCCTTGAGTGGGAGACATGTGACTTCGTCCTGTTGGGACACCATGTATGGACAGCAGGAAATAAACAGAACCAGACTAAACGTCCAGAACTAGGCCAGTTTAAAGATATTAGTTTTCAAACCAGACTTAAATATAGCTCACGATTTTCATTATTAGCCAAGGCAAAGCGTTCCATAGCTTGGGAGATGCACTGGCAACCCCCCGATCAGCTCAGCAAATAATAATTGACCTTGGAGTACTGAGAAGGCCATCTGAAGATATCAGGGACCACGTTGGTCGATAAAGATGGATCAGTTCCTGTAAATATTGCAGATGTTAATCGTATCTGCAGTTCACCAGCTCTAGGGTCAAGCAAATGAGCGGCGTAATCACTCACAAGTTAATCTCTAATCTTATTCTTTGGGTCTTTCGGTAAAGTCACGTAGATAGATTTATAAGGGCACGGGGTGACCAATAATGTCTGAATTGGTCTGTAATAAGGCAGGCACTGATAAGGGGTTAACAGGTATGCAATTTCAGTAAAAGTAAGTCTGGAGAAAGGAGGGGGATCCAGTCATATCTTGAATACCACCCCTGTTGAAATAGGTCGTTGTTCCAATGTCCATACTTCACCACACTAGTCAGCTCGCGGTGAAGGGGTGCAATCAAGGAACGGTTAAGCTATCACTCGTCACTGAGGTGAGCCACGGCTCAGCGCGGTTGGCTACGTACGGTGCGAAATAAGTTCTACATACATAAAAATAGTTCAATACATTGGCCAATAACACTGGCCTTAACATTAGCGCTTCTCCACAGCACACAGGATGTGCCAAGGATCATTGCCCAAAACGTCGCCGATTATATATTTGATATTGACGAATGTGCTGAGTGTTTGTTAATTGTGGTTGTGCACCACTGCCAAAGCAGCACCAGCAACGCCAAATAATGTAATCACTGTAGTTCATGGCGCAGTGCGCTAACCACTGCGCCACCGCTCCAAGCATAAACAAATGCTGTAGTAAAACGCAGACTGACCCACGAGTCCGATTGTACGAGCCAACACGCTGGCTGCTGATGTTACTCACGGGTTGAGCCGCACGTCTATTGTATCCATAAGACATGCGGTTAGGAGATTACACTACTCAACATCATCGCAGCCGGGGGCCTGTGCCTGTACAATGGCCATCGCTGGTCTGAGCACGTCGGGTGCGATGGACACGAAAGGAATGAATGAAGAATGTTTTGCATATAGGAACGAAGACGTGAGACCACCACCATGACATCAGCTCTGCTCGGTCCCCGCACCTGGAGGAGCAGGGGGGCACTGCCCCCCCCCCTTCCCGCAACCCCCTAGATAAGAGACACCGCGCGCCAGCCTTACCATGGTGACCCCGGGGCACGAGGCAGCAGTAGTCGGGGTGACATCCAGGCTCAGGGAGGAGAGGTGCGGCATGACCTCACAGGGGTGAGGAAGGGTGACGAACGCCGGCGCGGTAGAAGACGTCTTGAGCGGAGCCGGCTCCACGTGTCGGTGCGCAACGCGAGGTGCCGGAGCAAGGCTGCCCGAGTTAAAGAGCAACACGTGGGTCAGGTCAGGGGAGATACAAGTTGGAGTCAGGATACGGTCAGTTAAGTCAGGATTGGTGTAAAGCTAAGGGTTAGTGTTAAATACTGCATTCGAGGTTATGGTCAAAATGTTGTAGATAGGTTATATTAATGTTATCTTAGGGGTTAGTGTTCAGTTCGATTGAAGGTAGGCTAGTGTTAAGTTAGGGTTAAGTAAGGTAGGGAGGGTTAGCGTACGGGCGGCCGCTTTAGGTTAGGATGAGTGATTACGGATAGGCCGTTAGAGATACTGTTCTAGTTAGCCTAGGGTTAGAGTTAGGTTCGATGTAGAGTCAAGTTGTGAATTACGGCGAGGTTGAATACAAGCTAGTTAGTGTGAGTTAGCAGTTAAGCTGAGATTAGTGGTCGGTGGGGGGGGGGTAGCGTTAAGAGCTCACCTCGACGGGTTCGGCTCCCACCCGGGCTGCGGTGTCCACTCCACGTGGTCCGCCGACACGATGAGGCCCCGCCCCCTTCCACCCGGGGGGGCGGGGCACTTCCGCGTCACGTGGGACGTCCCTCTCGAGCCCTCTTCACGCGACCCCCGCGCGCGTCACTTCCTTTCCCGCTCCAGCCGCCATCATGGCAACGCAGATGTCCAAGAAGAAGAAGGTGAGGCGGGCCTTCTTCGCCCTTCCTCGCGCCATCGCGTGCCGCTGCCTCCACGAAAAGCGACGCGGCGGCATCGGCGTCGTCTCGGGCAGCGATTGGCGTCGGGCTTTTGCGTGGATGGCGTTGCGCTAGGTGCGATTGAGGGTGGATTGCGCGCTCGCCCCGTGTAGCCGGGGTCGCGGTGCTTGAAGGTTCGGGTTGGATTGTGGAGAGACGGGGAGAGTTGTGTTGGCCGTGAGGCATTTACAGGGTATTTGGGAGTCATCGTGCTGCTTGTGCAACACTTGTTCAGTCCACTGCTGGATCGAGGCCTCTCCACACCTCGTCGGGCATTCATTTTATTCGGCCGTACTTAGTCGGTTGGTGCGGCTTTATAGTGGAGGGCCCAGGCCAAGTCCCAGGCCAAGTTGAGCTTGCACTGAGCCTCTGATGTTAGCCGAAGCGAGTTTAATAGTACACGGCTTGAATTCGGCGCTATTAAGTGTTATGCTGTGTTATTCCATCGTGATGGAGTTTGTTCATGTACCGCTGTTCACGCAGCAGTACAGAATCGCCAAATACAGAACTTAAAACTTTAGAGCGCGGTGCGCCACCCGCGACACCACCGACCGCTCGAGCTCCTATGGCGGTGATTGTTCGTGCGAGGTTCTCTCCCGGGTGACGATGCTGCAGCTTCCCTCTGATGGTGGCGAGTATGGGGAGCGGTGGCGCAGTGCTTAGCACGCCGCTCTATGGAGCCGGCGCCCCGGGTTCAATTCCTGCTGAAATGTTCGCCCATCGGCGAATATTTTAACCGGTTCTAGAACTCCGCTCGTAGGTTTGCTCGGCATCATAAGTAGCTGGGTGCGGTGCGTAAACATCGCCGCTTGGGAGACAAAGACGGCCGGGCGTTGTGCTGGCCACCGCACTCCATCGTGTGCCGTGCAGGCCTTCATTGGGTGCTACTCGCTAACAGCACGTGCGACAAATGCTGTTGACGACACGGAGCATCTTTTGTGTGCCGGGGAGGTTTGGGACTGCAATGCAGTGCGTGTTGGAATGCATGTCGGGGTTGTATGGCCGCATGGAGTTTTTATTTTGGAGAGTTTGAGAGTGGATGTAGAGGTTTTAAGTGAGAATGGGTGTGCGTGCGAGAGTAGGGAGTATACACGTGCGTTCTAGGTAGGGGTTCGTCGTTGGGCTGTAATATCGCCGATGTGTCTTCGGCTGCTGTTGCCACGTGTTCGCCACGTGCTCAGAGCGGGAGCTTCCTCGGCATGCCCGACTGAAGCTCCGTTGGCACGTGGTGCAAAACGTTGGACCATCTTTTATTTGTATGTACGTTTAACTTGTTTCGTACCGTACGTATCCAACCGTGCTAATAGGAGTTTGTGGGTGAGATGAGAAGGGAGTGTGCATGTAGGTCTGTAGAGAGGTGTGTAACCCCCCCCCCCCTCGTGTTACACAGGTTGACTGGGCCAAAAATAGTCTTTCATGTGGTTAAGTAAAATGGCGCGTGTCGTGGACATAGCAGACTTTGAGATACAAAGGTGGCCGGGCGTTATTGGTCCAGCCAGCGAACACCATCCCCCATTCACACGTGTCTATTCCGCACCCATCTTAATAGGTGCTCGCTAACCACTATCCACGTGGATGTGTTGGCTTGATATGGATTCCAAGTGCACCTAGCCTGGCACCACCGCTGCGCTCACGTCAACGTCACTTATTGCCTAATGATGGCTGTTGCTGTTATGAGTAATAGGTGTTGACTAGCAACACTTGTTCCGACTTGGCTACATGGTTATTTACATGTATCCCTCGTGCTTTGTGTGGTCGTGTGAAGTTTGTGGCCGATGGAGTCTTCAAGGCCGAGATGAACGAGTTCCTGACTCGGGAACTCGCCGAAGATGGCTACAGCGGCGTGGAGGTGCGCGTCACGCCGACCCGCACGGAGATCATCATCCTCGCCACCAGGTGATGCCCACATCTCCCCCAGTCTTGAATTCCGCAGTTCACAAATTCCCTCCCGGCGGACTTAATCTCCCTCCTATCAACCTTGCCCCTGTTCGTGCGTTCACGTATGGCTCTGGTAAAGATTTTTAAATGACACAAACTCTGTCCTGAAGCCGTCCCCTCGTGGCAAGCAGACCTTGAAAGTGGTATTTAATTCCTGAACTCAACGTCATCCGCAAGAATGGGAATTGAGATATTAAGCACGTGTATGTATGAATGACTTGAATAAAATCGCCTGGAATGCATGCGATCGTGTCGAGATTATGGAAGCTCGGCACTCGGATAGTGCTGGAATAGGTGACCACCATGATTAAAATAGGACTGGGCTATATCCTGAGCAGTGCAGCAGAATGCATTATTGAACTGAACTATACTCTCATGCATTCTTCAACCACCAGCCCCCTCCCCCCTTGCACTGCACACGTACGAACCTTACCCTGTGCCGTGTGTGACCATAGTGTGTTTGTGCGATTGTGTTGGTGGTTGTGACCGTCACCGTGAAGGACCCAGAACGTGCTGGGAGAGAAGGGACGTCGCATCCGCGAGCTCACGTCCGTCATCCAGAAGCGATTCAACTTCCCTGAGGGCAGCGTTGAGGTGTGGACACTAGTCACTTTATTGCTTTCATGCGATAGTAATTTGATCCCAGTATAATTCTGCTCCTGGATAGGGGGGGGTACAAATAGAATATATTTTTGTGATTAATTAGTAAAAAATGTTTAGACTTTTGTGCGTAACCCTCCACCTAAGGTGATGAGCGTCGCAACGGCAGCGTTTGTGTGGTTTTGGTGATGATTTTGATGACGAGGCTGAAGGGCAGTCGCTGCCCCGCTCTGCCCGGCCCTCTGCTCGCGTTTTGCGAGCGTGTGGTCACGGCGCGCGGGGTCGCCCTGCCCCGTGCTCTGATGCTAAAGTAACGAGGCATTTGTCTGAAAAACCACGACGTTACCATCTTTTAAGCCATAAACTAAAACTTCACCCTTGAAAACCCTGCAGCTGCAATGCCCCCTACTGTGTAGATCAATACATTAGAATGGATTTAAGAGGTAGCTCTGTGATGGCCTCTTCTATGGGCTATCTTCTATAATAGAGGGCGATGTACTGCCTGCGCGAGAGTGGAGTCGCACGACTCGACCACCGATAGCACAACTCGGGATAAAAACCAG